CCTACCTACATGTGCAGCCTTTAGATTTTCTTTATTTCTGGCATGTTTTATGTTACAACTTTTACCTATTTAAAAATTCTTAGAGCCAGGCATGGTGGTGCACGCTTGTAATCCCAGGACTCAGGGAGGCAGAAGCAGGCAGATCTCTGTGAATTCCAGGCCAGCCTGGTCTGAAAGCGAGTCCAAGACTGCCAAGGCTACACAGAGAAACTGTCTTGAAGAAAACCAAAATAAAATAAAATTGTTAGGAGGTAGTTTCCTGGGTTCAGCCATCTCAGGAAAAAGTTCCATCTTTCTGGCAGGGTCAAAACTTAGTTCATATTCGTAGGCCTTGGAACCCAACCAACTCCTATCCTGTTTTCTTCAGATGTTTCATATTTGTCTGTTAACCAGTAAAGGATGTAAAGAGGGAAGTTCCATTATCCATTATCTAAACTAAAGCACAGGTTGTAAATTGTTGCCTGTCTGGACTTAAAGTTTGCCTACTCCTTTGTTCCCTTATCACTTAAAACTCCTGTTCAAAGTCCAAGAGAGGACATGACAGTCAAAAGCTGAGTTGAGGGCACTGAAACCAGGGGGCCTGGAAAGGCCCAGTCACCCACGTTTACTTCCTTGCTCAACCCTTGTGTCAAAATATGATTGGTCAGTGCAACAGCTCATCCTGCTCCTGCTCCCATCTTTTAAAAATGTTGTACCATCTCCCTTTGGGGAGGAGTTTCAGATCCCGAACTGGTGGCCTCCTTGTGTGTGCAGAAAATAAAGCTTGTATTTTAAGCTTCTGTCTCTGAAGTGAGTTTTCTCAGCTTCCACCCCAAACCCAACAAAAAATAAAATAAATTCTTAATTTTTTCTATTTAAGGTTCTTTCCCATTCACTGTTACCAGTTCCTGACTCATTCTCTTTAGGACTGGGGCAGAGAGAAAGAGCTAAGGGAATTAGGTCAAGGAAGAATGGGTCCAGGCAGATTCTCAGTAGCAGAGGCCAGAGGTCTCGGTCTTTTTTTTTTTTTTTTAATCATTCTGGAACCCTTTGACTTGGGGATGGAGTTCAGAGGACCTGCTCCAGGAGCCCTGGAAGTTGCATTTAACCCCCCACTTCCTAAACCTCCTATAAACACTCCAGATCTCTCCTTCCCCTATGGCAGATACCCCTTTCCTGCTGGGTCTGTTTCCCCACCACCACCACCACCTTTTTGAAGCAAACAGTCCCATCTGCTGAGGTCAGACAGGAGTCTTCTCTGCCTCCTGTCTAAGGCGCCCAGAAATGGAGGCCGCAGCCTGTGGCTTCCTGCCTTCTTACCCAGTCCTCCTACCTGCAAGAGGGCAGCTGCTCCTTTCTTTCCCTTCCTCCTTCCTGCAGGGGTATAGACAGAGCAGTGGCCTGAGGGTAAAAATTAGGTCAAAGACGCTCATGGAAAAAGGCTGAACAGGGATGGTTGCCCCACCAGAAGCCCGAGGCTGAACTGCTCTGCTGCGTAAGGGCAGTCCTGTTTCTCAGGGGACACCTCAGCCCCAGGGTAATGGGATAAGGCGCCATAAAAATGTGCATCATCAGGCTCCTGGGTTCTCAGAAGTGAACCAGGTTACCAGAACAGAGGCCAGTGCTCCCTGAAGCAAAGTTGCACTTACGTTGCAAGTAGAGAAGGACTATGGCCCAGCCAGAGGTCTAGCACAGGCTTGTCCTGGCCAGCCAGTGACAGCCCACCCAGCTACAGGCAGGCAGACATGACTTCATCCCTGACCTTTTGTTGTTGTTCTTTTTGGTTTTTAGAGACAGGGTTTCTCTGTGTAGCTCTGGCTGTCCTGTCCTGCTGTTTTCTGTAGACCAGGCTACCTTTGAACACAGAGACCTGCCTGCCTCTGTCTCTGGAGTGCTGGGACTAAAGGCACGTACCACTGCTCTCTGCTTTCCACTCTCTGCCCTTCCCTTTCACGTACAAAGCTAGTTCTCAGCTCTCTAGCCTCCATTCCATCTCTCTTGTTTTTGCAGTCTCTGTGCGACTGTCTTCCATTCTCACGAAACATGGGACTGGTAGTTTAACACTGGTAAGTCTTCTGAGAAACAATAATTGGACCCCAAAGAAGAGAGGTGGGGAAAGTGCAGGCCTGGAAGGGGGGGCAGAAGTCTGTACTGCTGGTTCCCCACTGAATTCACCACCCTGGGCAGGGCACCTAGAAGAACTACAAAAACAAAACAGAAAACCAACACTGTAAAACTTGTGTTTAGGACAAGAAATTCACATCTTTTTATTTCCCCCACCAAGTAGGACTTCTATGCAAAAAATTTTAATAACCTTTCCACCCAGTAAAATATTTGTTTACACAAAGGCCATGCTGTTTTCTGTTAAGCGAAAGCCTGAGCAGCGAGTAGCTCCTTTTTTCCTTGGAGAAGTGATCCTTTCCTCCTTCCCCCTTCAGTTCTGGCACACTAATTCTTTTCAGACTAGACAACTGAATAAGACTGTGAAGATCCCAGGCAATGGGGAAAAGACGGTCACCCCTTGAGTGAGAATAAAAACCAAAGGAGCTTCCTGTCTGGGTGTGCTGGCTCTTCAGAATAGTGAACATTGCCTTCTCCGGGCACTTCAGCTGGAATTGTGGTCTCTTTCTTTATACCCCAGAACTTATCTCTAACACACTTAAAGCCCTTTTCCAAGAAACAGGAAACCCTCCCTAGTTGTGAATACTGACTCAGCAAAGAGGATTACCTTGCAATAAAGTGAGAGCTTTGTTAATGTGTAAGTAAAAGAGGAAAAGAAGTGAGTAGATTCTGGATACTTTGGGTGTTCAAATGAGTATTCATTTTAACACCATGCATGGCTGCCCCTCCCCGGGTAAAGAATGGAAGACCCTCTGGGTTTTCTATTTAAAATCTCTCGTTTATTTTGACATTCACTTGGTTGTGTTCCAAGATATCAAAGATGCAAGACAAGAAATCTGCAGCAGGAGAAGTGGAGTGACGCAGAGAAGGACCGTGGAGAGGACGGGCTACTCCCTGACCCCTCCTCCTTCTCTTCCTGTTTACGGTTCAGTTTGAAGAGTGTACAAACTGTGTCTCATGGTAGACTCAACAGCTAAAGGGACAGAATAGCCAAGTTGGGTGACCTTTCTCTTCTTCAGGAGCTCACATTGCTACAGTGAAGAGTGAGGGGGTCAGGTGACCGACCTGCAGCCTAGGGTGGGGCCTGGGCCTCAAATGGTGTAGGCTGAAGGGAAGGTGTGTTCCACCTCCCCTCTGACACCTGGGATCCAGATCTTGACTTGTGGCTTAAGCTGAGAAAGCTACAGGAGACACAAAGGCAAAGGGTACTTTGTTACCCAGAGGCCCCGACTACACAAGTGGGTTACAGTTGGCTGGGTTGTCTCGGTTTACCCAAAGGCATTTGTACGATGATGGCATTGTTATGTGGGGTGAAGGAAGTCATAGCTGTTGGAACCACGGGAGAGCAAGGCACTGGGCTGGTGGTTAGGAAGTGGGACTTGCTGCCATGCCCAGCAGCAAGTCAAGGGTTGCACGTGTCCCAGGATGGGCAGATGGTGGAGATGGGTGTGCCGGAGCTGCGGAGCCACCCCTCTGCACAGGGGGACATCTCATTAATACTCCTGAGGTGGCTTCCTGTGGCGGTGTTTGCCATTTGAGGCTGCTCAGTTGGGGGCTGAACAAACGTTTTGTTGTTTTTGAGACAGGGTCTCAGGTAGCCCAGGTTGACCTTGAACTTCCTATGTAGCCAAAGATGACTGAGCAACTGCTGCCTGCTTTCCTCTATCTCTGGAGTGATGGAATTAGAGTCATGCCCACGATGCTGGGTTTTACGAGCCCTGGGCTTTGTGTAAACCCGGCAAGAACTCAGCTGAGCTACAGCCCTAGGCCTGACTTGTTTGCCTTTCAGCAGCAATTGAAACGACTTTGTCTTCTAATTGTATGGGCTTTCTCCCATCCCTTTTGTGGTTTCCAGCTCACAACAAATGTTCCTGTGCCCAGATCAGACTGCTGGAGAGTTAATGCAGCCCAGGCCAGGATGAGGGCAAGAGGAAAGACTGATTAACAGGTCTTTCTAAGAAGTCTTGGATTTGTAGAACAGTAAGGGACGTTTTTAGTCCACCTAGGCAAGCTTTGCCTCCCTGGAGAAAAATGTAAGTCTCAGTGAAGATAACCTGATTGGATGAAGATAGCCAGGTCTCAGGAGTGAACAAAATGTGGCCAGAGCGAGTCTTCTGCTTCTTAACCAAGCGTTCATTATCTACACTTGGAGATGAGAGGTGCATCCTGCTCTCTGTCAAACCAGCCAAGATTTCAGGAGAAGGACCAGCCCTTCTCTTGGCTCACCCTCCACAGCATCCTGAGACTCTGGAGTTAACCCTTAGAAGTGGGGCCAATGACCCTTGATTACAGCAGTAACTGGAGCACTTATCACCAGTACTTACAAAAAAAAAAAAAAAAAGAACTAAGCCAAACAAAACTAATAAACAAACAACAACAGAAACACATAAGGCCACTGCTAGGTGATAAGTGGGGGGTGGGGGGACTTGAGACTAGAGTAAGACTGCAAACTAGCTCATCAACATGAGACTGGGGAGTTAGGGGGCCAAAAGAGGGCAGGCAAGCATTAGGTCTACTTACTAAGACACAGCCAACCTTCAGGAGCCAGGCCCCGCACCCCACCCCCAGCTCAGGGGAGAAGGGCATGGCGCCTGATGGAATAAAATGGTCCTGTTCATAATGTCACATGGGTGCTCAAGGGGTGGGTGCACCATCCTCTAGAGGAGCTTGCGCAGGTTTGTGGGAACTTAACTGCTGCAGCATTGCCTCAGGTCCCTTCTTCTGGTTGCTATGGAGACTGTCCACTTTAACTGCCTTTTTGGTCCAGCTGCTAGAGGGCAATATTTTTCTTTCTTGTTGATACCCTGGACCTTTCTGCTCTGCAGCTCTTGAAGGAGGTAAAGCCACATGGCTGCTGATGGTGATGAGTACATGAGAGGGTACGGCCCCCTACCCTCAGGAATGGGCATCAACCCACACACTCACAGGGCCGAATCTACACCTGTGGCTAAGCATGGAGGAACAGGGATAATCAGTACTAGGCTTCTAGAACTCTAGTGATTAAAACCCGGAAAAGGTTCTCTAGCAGGAGACATAAGAAAGGACTTGAAGGGGAAACAAGGTTATATAGACTCTTCTTGCTCTAGTCCCCATAATCAGCTGTGTGCTGTGGCACTCAGCGTCAATTTGATGTGTTTCACGAGGAGGGGCTAGGTAGCAGATGTGGTGTTTCCAGAACTCAATATACATATTGGAGAAGGCAAACTGAGTAAAAAATAGAGTGTAAGTTAGCTCATGGATGCATTCCAGCAAGCAAACTGTGAGGGGATCCTTTAACACGTTTTTCTGTCTCCTCTCAAATTCCAGAATGTCTAGTTCTCACCATTCCCTTTTGGTCCACTTCCTCTAGGCACGCCCACTTGATTTCACAAGGTCCCTGGAAGCCTCACCAGCCTTTGCCTAGCTTTCCCTGGTTCTCTTTTACAGAGCCCAGCAAAGCAAAGGGTTTGGGCTTGCTGGAAGGGGCGTGGCATGGAGAAACCGGCGACATTGTAGACTTTCCAGGCTCCACCTCCAGGCCACAGGGCTGGAGATGGGTCCTGCCCTGGTCCTCATGCATTCAATAGTTCCCATCCTAGTGAACCCTCTGCTATGGAAGCCAGAGAAACTGAGATGGTTCCTGGGGATGGAGGGGGGCTATTGGAGTGTCCCCTCCATTACTCCATTGCTCCTGCTGGGACAGCGGTGTTGGGTGTGTTAGATCAGGGTGAAAGGATTATACATCTGTACTAATAGCCCTTGGATTAGTGAAGGCCTCATGCCCAGAACTTGGCCAGGTCACCGGGTAACTCTGGGGTGCTGCCAGTTTGAGGGATGGGGTTCCCCCCTCTTTGTAGTGTGTAGGAGCAAAGGAGAGCCTCTCGCCTCCACCCCCATTGGGCACCATGTCAGCTGTCCGTATGTAAAAGGGGGTGCGGTACGGGGAGCAAGTGGTACAGTGGCCGGCCACCCCACATGGCTGGCTGCAGGACTCGCTGGTGAGAGGTGCCAGGCTGCCTCTGCCGTCCAGGACTTGGGAGCTGCAGGCATTGCAGGTGGGGGCTCGGGGATGGATGGAGAGGTCGTGCTCCTCCTCTTCCTCCTCCTCCTCTGCATCCTCGGCATCTGTGCTGTTTTTGCAGCAATAGTACTGAGGGGAAGGAAAAGGGACGCCTGAGAGAGGCGGTCTAGCTCCCCCCCTCCCATCACTCCTGAGCGAACACAGGAACAACCCTCCTCCACCTTCCACTGGGTACCGCGAGTCGGCCATTTTGTTGGGGAAGGGAGATACACTCCAGCACCGGAGTCCCACACATCCCACAAGCATTTGCTCCCAATTTTACCAGGCCAGTACTTCTCCCTTTCCTCAGGGTGTCCTGGTGGACAAGGAAGCAGAGAGGGAGGCACATACACGAATGCAAGGACAGGGTTCGGGGGAGGGGGGAGATTCTGCAGCAACATTCAGTCTCCCAGGAAGGTGCCTTCCCAACTAATGCCAAGATCTCAGAGGAGAATGTGAGAGCCCTACACCTTCCTGGGACCCTCTGTAGGGTACGGGAAACTCTCTCCTCTCTCTCTCTTTCTCTCTCTCTCTCTCTCTGTGTGTGTGTGTGTGTGTGTGTGTGAGAGAGAGAGAGAGAGAGAGAGAGAGAGAGATTGCAAGCTCCCTTCTGAACATGCTCAGTTTTCAGCCTCCTTCACTCCCGCTAGGAGGCCTTGTTGCCTCCGAAGTGTGCCTTTAGTTTCTGCCCTCGTCCTGTAGAAGCCGCTTGCTGGTGGCCTCCTAGCCTCTGAGTATAGGCCCACGGTACTGACCTGGAGCCTACAGTAGCACAGGACAGCAATGATACAGAGGAGGATCACTGTAGCTAGGATTCCGCCAGTGATCACAACTGTTCCCGCTGTCATCCGCCCGGCGCCCCATCAAACTCTGCAAAGAGGAAGAGTTGATTTGCATTCTCTGCATAGCAGTAAGTAGGATGACAGGAGCTGGGCGGACCCAGGCCTGCCTGGGCTTCCTGAAGGCTGAGGACTTGCTATGCTTAACCCAGGGTGGGGTGGGGTGGGCCGCTGCTGGAGGGAAAAGACAGGCAGAGCACTGACTGCTCTGTCTCTCCTTTAGTCTTTATCCCTTTCCCTCCTCTTTCTGTTTTATTATCATCTTTTTTATATACGCATGTCTGCGAACGTGGGTGTATGTAGGGATGAGTACCTGGAGAGGACATGATGTTGTTCCGCAGATGCCATTATTATTATTTTTGTTTTGTTTTGCTTCTAAACAGGGTTTTGCTTTTTTTCCCCCCGTGTAGCCCTTGCTGTCCTGGAACTCACTCTGTAGACCAGGTTGGCTTCAAACTCAAAAAGATCTGCCTGCCTCTGCTTCCCAAATGCTGGGATAAAAAAAGGCGTGTGCCACCACCACCAAGACCTTTTTTTTTTTTTTTTTTCCAGACAGAATCTCTCAGTAGCCCAGAACTTGTCAAGTAGTCTAGGTTACATGGCCAGGGAGCCCTGGGAATTTGCCTGTTTCTGACTCTTTGATTCTAAGATTGCAGATGCCCGCCATCATACCTGGCCCCTTTTAAATGTGGGTTCTACGGCTTTCTCCTACGGCTCCAAGAGGGAATACTAGAAGAGAAAGGCTTTGACTGTGAGGCATCATGCTAAGTATTCCTACCTCCACCTTTCCACCCCTTTACCCCCACCCCCACCCCCACCATCCCCCCCGAAATAACCAAGGAATATTCACATTAACCTTTTGAGATAGCTACTCATATATCCATGTTCTATACAAGAGGCACTGCTCCGAAGCTTTGACATACTTGCCTGGGATTCCCAGCCTGCCTCCCACTAAAAGCCAGGCTCTATGTTACTTCTCTCTTGGGCACAACTATCAATGGCTTCTGAACCTTTGGGGACATGAGGCTCAGAGTGAGTTGGTGGGCAGCGTCCTGGGTCCTGGAAGGCCATGGTCAGGCTAGGAAAACTGGTCTTGGTCCTTGGAGCCAAATGAACAGGACAGAGGGAAGTTCTGGGTAAGGCTATCCAGGCCTTTGGCAGGCCACTGGGAGGTGGGTTTTGAGTCTCCCCTCTTTATGCCCTCCCCCTCCCCCACAGTACAGTGGAGGCTTGATAGCTTGGTAGCTTGATGATGGAGGGAAGATCTTAAGGACTTACATTCAGTGAAGGGAACGAGGACCTGTAAGACAACAAGAGGAACAGAGATATTGAGAAAAGAATGTCACTCCCTGAAAAAGGCTCCTGGAGTTCGTATTCACTAATCTCCACCCAATCTCACCTGGACATTGCACTTTGATGTCACGCTGTTACCTCAAACTCAGTATACACAGGATAAAGGCATTATTTCACTCTTCAGATGGATGCCCATCTCTGAGTGCTCCCTGTCTGTCATGATTCCAGGGCAGCAGCTGATGCTTATCAAGCCATGCATCCTGTGTGGTCACCTGGATGAAGGGGTACCCATTCTTTGACTCAGAGGTACCCCTTGCCCACCAGGTGCTCCTTACAAAGCCTCTTCTCCTTCCCTTAGAGGTACCGAGCAGCCTTGCTGCTACTGAGCTGTCTCTAGTCCAGCAGTGTGGGCATGTGCCAGCAAGGAGTGCGAGTCTGCATTCTAAAAAGCTCTCAGGTGACTTATTTGCACATTAACTTTCTTTCTTTCTCTCTTTCTTTCTTTCTTCCCTTTCCTTCCTCTCTTTCTTCCCCTTTCTTTCTTTCTTTCTTTCTTTCTTTCTTTCTTTCTTTCTTTCTCTCTTTCTCTTTCTTTCTTTCTTCCCTTTCTCTCCCTCCTTTCTTTCTTTCTTTCTTTCTTTCTTTCTTTCTTTCTTCCCTTTCCCTCCCTTCCTTCCTTCCTTCTTTCTTTCTTTTCTTTTCTTTCTTTCTTTCTTTCTTTCTTTCTTTCTTTCTTTCTTTCTTTCTTTCTTTCTTTCTTTCAGACAGGGTTCCAGTTTGTAGCTTGGGCTGGCCTGGAGCTTTCCATGTCGCCCTGTCTTGGCCTCAAACTTGTAGAAATTCTAAATAAGACTCTCAGTCAGGGAACAGGACATGCCTAGCTGCTCTGACTGAAATATCTCAGATTCTTTTGACCTTCTTCAGTCTTCTGTTCCCTGTGCCAGTTCAGGGGGAACTGGTAACCTGGCTTCCTAACTCACCTCCCTGGGCCCGATTCCTTCCACTGTAGTTTAGACTTTCATTAGCCTCCTCCTGTGCCTGCCTGTGACTCCAGCACCTTTCTGACACTGCCTGCAAATAAATACATATTTTTAAGTTGACTATCTTCCACCAAAATAAAACTTGAGTAGAATATGGAAAGGTGTCACAGTAGGATCCAGAATTAAGGCAAGGGCTCAGGAATGGGGCAGCCAAGAAAGGTTTCTTGGTGCCTTGATGGATGTGTAAGATTTGAACATATGGAGAAAGATAATGGCGTACCACCAAAAGCCCCTTAGGACTTCCCATCACCCCCAAAAGAGTGAAAGATACACTCATCTGGACACAGCTTCAAAAGTCCCACCTTCCCCAATTTTCCTGCGTGTTCACCACTATGTAACTTCTCACCTGCCCTTGTGTCCTCAGTGGAAGCCCCTGCCCTATGTGGCAGTCCTGATCCTTAGGAAGTTTAGACTTTACTGATGGAAAGAGACATCCTCTGATACCGACCATAGGCTAGGGGTGCATGGCATGGCAGAGAGGCCGCCGATTACTGAGGAAGACGCCTTGTTTAAGGTCTGAGGTGAATCTTGTAAGCTGAGAGAAGATGGTGCTGACTGAGTGAAACAGTCCAGGGGTGAAGGTGGTGGCGGGGAGGGAAGTAGGGCTTCTGGAACAAGGCCCCGAGAACGGAAAGGATCTGGGAAAACTAGACACACTAGGGGTAGGCATGAAGCAGACAGGCTTCAGGACACCAGAGGGACTGAGATTGAGCTCCATGGGGGTGATGGGAAGTCCTGAGGGGCTTTGGGGGCACACCATCATCTTTCTTCGTTTATTCAAATCTTACACATCCTTCAAGGAGCCAAGGCTGCCCCGTTGCTGAGCCCTTGCCCCAATTCTGGATCCTATGGCCATGCCTTTCCATAGTCTACTTCCCAAGGCTTATTTTGATGGGTGCTAGTCAACTTAAAAACAAACATTTACTTTTATTTTACTTGTATGAGTGTTTTGCCTGTGCCTATGTAGGTACGATGCATGAGTACTTGGTACCCGAGGAAGCCAGAACAGGGCTTTAGATCCCCTGGAACTAGAGTCACAGACAGCTGTAAACTGCTGTGTGGATGCTGGGAATTGAATCAGGGTCCTCTGCAAAACCAAAACCAAAGCAAAACAAAAAAAACAGCAAGTGCTCGGAATAGCAAAAGAGCTATTTCTCTTTTGGTGGAGAAATATCTTGAGTCTTCTACTAATGATTGCAGCCAATAATTGTCTTATACTGTTTCCCATACTTGCTGCTCCCAACACCATACCCGCCACACCACGGTAAAAAGCAGAAGTTAATGTGCTTAATAAAAGTTCGGTGATGGCTGACAGTTATGACTGTAACTGACCACTAGGGGTCAGCAAGTTGCAACTTTTGATTCCATCTGCAAAAACAACTGAGTAGCCCTGTTGACGGTTTGGCTTTGCCCAGATATGTGGTAGGCCATATTTTCTGGGGATTCCTGAAGCATCTGGCCATCCATCCATCTATCTTTTTCTTTCTTTCTTCCTTCCTTTCTTCCTTTCTTTCTCTCTCTCTCCCTCCCTCTTTCTTTCTTTCTTTCTTTCTTTCTTTCTTTCTTTCTTTCTTTCTTTCTCTTTCTTTTTTTCTTTCCCTTCCTTCCTTCCTTCCTTCCCTTCCTTCCTTCTTCCTCCTTCCTTCCTTCCCTCCCTTCCTTCTTCCTCCTTCCTTCCTTCCTTCCCTCCCTTCCTTCTCCTTCCTTCCTTCCTTCCTTCCTTCCTTCCCCTCCCTCCCTCCCTCCCTCCCTCCCTCCCTCCCTCCCTCCCTCCTTTCTTTCTTTCTTTCTTTCTTTCTTTCTTTCTTTCTTTCTTTCTTTCTTTCTTTCCTTCTTTCTTCCTTAATGAGACAAGATTCCAATTTATAGCTCAGGCTAGCCTGGAGCTTTCTATGTAGCCCTGTCTGGCCTCAAACTTGTAGAAATTCTGCAAGAGAATCTCAAGTGCTGCTATGTCAGGTGTAAAACCACCACCCTGGCTTTGAAACCCTTAGCCTACTCTGCTGGGGTTTTTGGAAGACAAGGGCTTATGGGAAAGCCTTGTAAGAACAGTGCTTCCTTCCCTGCCTTAGACCCTGGTCTTCCTTCCTTCAGTTTTAGGGAGGCTGTGCAGTAGCAGTGGTTTAAAATGGGCTGGAGGGCACTGCAGGATGAAGCAGCCAACTGATGGCTCGTGTTTGAGCCCAACTGTGTTCTACGCAGCCACTCCATCTTGGAAATTTGCCTTTCTGCCTTGGCAAACGGACACAGAAAAGCTTACAAATGAGTATGAAGGGCACGTGAGATGTCACACACATCTTTTTTACCAGTTTGCTGGGTTTGCTTTTTGTTTTTAATTTTAGGCACAGGGTCTCATCCTGTCATCTCGCCTTTCCCAGAATGTAGCCCAACTGCCTTCCAACTCTCAGCAGTTCTCCTGTCTCAGCCTCCTAAGTACTGGGGTTGCAGATGTGACCACAGCAGCTGGCCCTTGCGTATATGTATGTATGTATTTTGAGGGAGGGTCTCACTGTGTAGACCAGCGTGGTCTCGAACTCAGAAAGATCTGCCTGCCTCTGCCTCCCTAGTGCTGGGATTAAAGATGTGTGCTACCACGCTTGGTGCTCTTTGCTATTTTTAAAGACCCTACCCAGGATGGTTGTGGGAGGGTGGGTAGAAGGCTCGGCCATTTTTCAGCTGCCTAAATGTGCCCTTTTTTGTTGTTGTTGTTTTGAGAGACAGGATTTCTCTATGTAGCCTTGGATGTTCTGGATTCATTCACCTTGTATACCAGATGGCTTCGAATTCACAGAGATCCACCTGCCTCTGCCTCCCTGAGCGCTGGGATTGCAGGTCTGTGCCACCTCGCCTGGAATTAAATGTGTCCTTATGCTTCTGCATGCCCTTACACATGTAAGGTATGTATAATGTGTGACATGAGCTAAGCAGGCCCAGTCCCTGAGGTACTGGTACTAACAGTACAATTTGGACTTAAATTCTCACACTTAGTGGTTTCCTCTTATTTCAGGCAGGGTTCTTGCCCTTTTTGCAATAAGATGCAAATGACAATAAATTTTTATACCTAAATAGCATGGCACAGCTTACCAGGCATTTCCATCTATTTCCCCTCTTTTGCTGGAGAGACTTAGCAATGGCTCCCAATAATCCCCTTCCCTGGCCGTCATGCCTTGTATATCAAACTTCCTTCCAGTGTCAATCTAACCTATGACTTGCATCTAAGAACCTGTTAAACAACAACAACAAAAAAGCAGCAAAAATAGTAGGAAGTCACTTCTATGGGCAGATTCAAGGTTCACGTTTCTTTTTCATGAGGCAACATTCTCCCTTTTCTGGCTTTGCTGCAAGTAAGCTGCTATGTTGGGAGAGCCACGTGACCAGGAATTGCAGGTGGGCTGTGGCCAATAACAGGCTGGAAATGGAGGCTCTTAGTCCATGGCCCAGAAGTCACTGCAGCATCAGGGCGTCACACAGTGAGAAGAGAAGCAGGTCTGTTTCCCACCCACCCAGTCAAGCTTTTAGATGAAACCGCAATCCCAACCCAAACCCCAAATGCTGGACAGAGGCTGAAACAGTGGACTCAGCTCTTCACGGCAGGATTCCCTACCCACAGAAACTCTTGAGATGTTCTGTGTGCACCATTTTAAGCTGCTAAACTTGTTTCACAGTCAAAAGTAACTAATACACCTTCCTGGACCTTACAAAAAAAAATCCCATAACACAGGCGAAGAGGCCAGACTTCAGAGATATATCTAAAGCCGTAGGGTAACAGGCATCTGCAGCCAGGATCTCAAGGCTAGTGCTGTGGGTCCCTTGTCTCTTAAGTAGCTTCATTAGAAGAAGAACAAAGTTCCTGTGTTCCCACTTAGGTCCTCTCAGAGCTGGGGCAGAACTCAGTGGTGGCCAGCCCAAGGGATATGTTCCTCACCAAAGAGGAACACTTGTCTATTCACTAACAAATTCTGAGGACCTGCTCTCTCAGTCCAGGTCCTCAGCCGGCATGACTCTCCCTCTGAACCCATCATCCTATTCGGGTCCCAAATACTTCTGGGAGGAAAACTTTGGCCTGTGCCTTATACTTACAGGAAACAGCTGGAGCAGTCATGCCGGCTGAACATGAGCAGACAGCAGCTGGGGATCCATCCTGGCCGAGGGCCTCATCGGTTCCTGCTAGATGAAGACAGGAGAGAGGGAGGTTAGTGGGAGGTTAAACAAGCTGGAAGGTCTTCAAGCCTTGGAAGATGATAGTCAGCTCTATCCCATCCTCGTTTTCTTCTTTGAGCACAGCTATCTAGAGCTCCTGTCCAGTGCAGCAGCAGAACTCTGGGCCAGAGGCTCACTGGGGACAGGAGCTCATCCACATCTTTCAAACTCCACTAGGGAACTCAGGTATGAGCTCTGTGTGTGATGCTCCGCTTCTGCTCAGGAGTCCAGGGAGGGGATCCAAACATCAGTGACACCTACAGAACCACCTACCAGAAGGATGGTACCGAGCCCCTTCGGCTTCTCCAACCCCCTGGCATGAAGCTCAAGGGTTGGTGCGTGACCAAAGCCAGCAGGACTTGGGAGCAGAACTGGGGGAAAGTTGAAAAGAAGGCCAATGGCGATCTAGGGAGTGACCCTGTCCACACATCACCCTCCTTTTCCATCTGGGCAGTTCTTGCCCCCGATGCCACAGACACCCAGGCTTGCTTTTCTCAAGGATGTTCCCACCCACTGAACCATAGGTCAGGTATGAATGGTAATGCCAGCTGCCAAGGTAGTAGGAGGTCCCTTCTAAGGTCAGGCTCAAGATTCAGACTGTCTTTCACCAGCTAACTCCCTCCCTTGCTGGCTTGGATGCAGCGAGCAGCACGTTGGGAGGTCCATTTGGCCAGACTCTGTCCAGCCTCAAACTGGGAACTGAAGCCTTCTGGGCTCCTCCTCCTAAATTGTGAGTGAGATTTCAAAGCATATTAATAGCAGTCAGAAAACTATAGGTGTTCAGGACAGGTCCCCCATGCTGGCAGTGTGTAAGTATGAGGAGTCTCTTTCAGGATTCAGCTCCACACTCTGCACAAATAAAACAGATCAGTAATTTCATGAAGAACTAGAGAGGAAGGAAGTCCCCTTGGCAAAGCCACTGCTGAGCTATGAAAGCCTCCTTCCCACCTGTAAGGGAGAAAAGCTGAGGCTGACGTAAGGGAACCTCACGATGTCCATCAAATGCACAAAGGCAAGGGCCAAGTTTAAGCTCCTCTCGGTTCTCTAGCCAGAAAGAGCACACACTATCCTGGTAAAGTAGTACAAATGAAAGCCACGAGCCCACAAGAATACACACACACACACACACACACACACACACACACACCCATAAACACACATACACACATCTACAATGAAAATAAATGTAATCAATATGTTAATCAATAGTTTAATATTAAATGTTGCATGGGTTTTGCACAGAAAAAAAATATTTTTTGAGAATCCTTTTAAAGTATAGCCAGAGAAATCTCTCCACCTTCCCTCAGTCCCCACAAATCCCCACACAACAATCCCAACAAATCACACCTTGGCCCAATCCAGCTGCTTTTTAACTTATTCTCAGGAGACAGTTGTCTGTGTTCTTTATAGACCTTAGAGAGCCAGTCATGAGTTTTAATCAGCGCCCTCCAGGCTGGTGCTTTTGCCTCTGGTCTGGCATACGAGGCCCCTTTGCTGTCTATAACACCTCTCCCTCTTTCTGTATTTACCCGCTCTCATGATCTTCACTTTAGAAAAAGAGCTCTACAAGAGCTGGCTCCGATTCTTATATAGCAGGGAGAAGCCAGGCTTGGAGAGGATGAGTAACTTGCTTAACTACACACAGCAAGGCAGAGACAGACACACCTGGAGAGGCACCGGGAACCTTCTGCCTCTCAGCATGCTGTCTGCCCTTTCAGAAGGGCTATACGCATTTCACCAGGAGCTGAGGTGTCCCCGGAGTACTCTCTTGGAGCAGATTGATAGTAACAATCAACCGAGCCACAGGTTAAGAAACAGAGACCCTAAACTTCCTACAGGCACAGACACAGAGGTCAGCCACAGCCACAGGCACAGGGGTCAGGCACAGGAGCCTGTGTTTTTCCAGGTTTACATCATACCATCTGGCCCTTCTGCGAAATGATGCAGGAATGAGGGTCTTTGGGAGGTTTCACTGTGGAGGCACCAACCTTGCAGAGTTGGTGACATCAGCTGGTACCCATGTCCAGACTGGTTCTGTGTCTTTGGGGCCAAGCAGCCCCAACGGAATTCAGAAGCCCAACGGCACATCAGCCTGGGCTACGGAGCATAGGGTCAACGGAGAAGTCAGGATAGGGGGCCTTAGAAGAAGACGTTCTTCTAGCGGAGATGGAGAAGGACACTAAGAGCCACTCTCCATTAGACCAGGGGGGGGGGTCTCTGCACTCTTGAAGGGGTCCCTTGCCATCAGTGACCCCAAACTCCTGTTAGCAGGGTCACCTCCCTCCCTGAGTGACTAAAGATGAGAATTGCAGGCCGCATCTGGCACCAAGACATGTAATTAATGGCTGCTGCCCCTGCCTGACTCGCTTAGGAGCACAAGTTAATTGAGTGGGGCCCAAGCACCAGCTGATGTCAATTTCTTCCGATGCAATTAGGCCTTCCCTAGTCATTTATTAACTGGTGAAATTGACACAGCAGGTTGTAACCTGTCTGGGAGCAGAAGCCTCAGGGGAGGCTGGCTCCGGGAGGGGTCGGGGAGAGGAGGGCAAAACACAAGGACATGTTGCTGTGACTGCGCTGACGCCCATTGCCAAGCCCTTCTCTTGGATGAGGGTCTGAAGAGTCCCTTCTGCCCCCAGGTAAATAACTTCAGGCTCCCAGACATGTGTGCTGTTTGAGAATCGAGGCCTGCAAATCATCTGGAAGAGACAAAGGTGTATACATAATAAGGAGCCTCCATCATGTACCTTGACGCAACCTAAGACGGTGCAGGTCCTGTGGATGAGAGATTCGGGCACAACCCACAATAAGGGCAACCTCAACCTGACAAGAAAAAGAGCAGGGGGCGGGATCCATGGTGATTCTAAACACAGTCAGACTGACAGGGAAGATCACCTGTGATAACTCCACCCCCTGTCACCCAGACGCGTAGTTATCAGCCATAATATCCTATTTCCGGGCCCTAAAATCCCATTTTCATCTCATAATGCAAATACATTTCATCCACCTTTAAAAGGGGTCAAAGGCTTTTTTAATAGTTCTGACACCGTTTGAAAAGCTCAAAGTCACTGCTGAGACTCATAGCTCTCTGTCATGCTTTCGTTTCTCTATGTGTGTGCACAAGGAAGTGTGTGTGTGTGTGTGTGTGTAGGCCAGAGGCTGACATCAGAAGTCTTCTTCAATTTCTCTCCACCTTAGTTCTTTGAAATAGGGTCTCTCTCTCTCTCTTTTTTAAGGTGCAGGGTTTTTTTGTTGTTGTTGTTTGTTTTAAGGTTTATTTATTTATTATTTATACAGTATTCTGTCTGCATGTACGCCTACACGCCACAAGAGGGCACCAGATCTCATTATAGATGGTTGTGAGCCACCGTGTGGCTGCTGGGAATTGAACTCAGGACCTCTGGAAGAGCAGCGGGTGTCTTAACCTCTGAGCCATCTCTCCAGCCCGAGGTAGGGCCTCTACCTTGAGCCCAGAGTTTGCTGTTTTGGCTAACGAAGCTAGCCGCCTTGCTCCAGAGGTCCCCTCCTCCACTTCCTCAGTGTGGGGATTACAGATAGGCCTGCCCACCATTTACGCTGGTGCTGGAGATTCAGACTAAGGTCCTCATGCCCTCATGATAAGCACATTGCCATCTGAGCCATCTCTCCCATCGCATGGCAATCTCGCAAGTGTGAGCCCCCTGAAATAAACAAAAACAAAAACAAAAACAAAAAAAACAAAAAAAAAAAAAAACCATGTTCTATGCTTCCACGGATACAACAGCACAGAGTAAACATTCCCATTCCAATCTTTTTTTCTTTCTTTCTTCTTTCTTCTCATCATGGAAGCTGTGGTGTGTCACAGTGTGTCCCACAGTATACCCCTCCGTCCACACATCTTCACTTGCAAATGTTCGTTCGTAGCGTGTGACACCATCAGCACTGAATTCTCACCGGGGCTCCTCCCAGTTATCCGTGTTGCCCTGTACCATGACGATCCTGGATCTGGGCCTGGGCGGTTCTGAGCTGGTCAGCCCGCTGGCTCTCCCTTATCCGAACCAACCGGGGGAGCGCTCTAGCCCCGGTCCACTCAATGCCGCCATCAGCAGGAGGCAGGGTCAGCGATCCTGCTCTGATGCCACAGCTCCATTGTGCTGCCCAGGTGAAGGGCAGGGCCAGCTCTCTCATCCCCCTGCCCCTTCTCCTTAGAAAAGCGGAGCCTGGCTGGGCCTCCTGGCAGTGGGGGACCTTTTAGCTGTGCAGGACTTACAGTGGTGGGAGGGGAACACCAATCCACCCGCGAAATTTTCAACCCAAAGTTTGCTCTGCCTGCAGGATGTACAGAGATAAGCGTGGAGTGGAGACTGAGGGAATGTCCAACCAATGCCTGGCCCAACCTGGGACCCACCCCATGGGAGAGAGCCCGCCCCTGACGCCAAATTCTGCTATGTTTACAGACAGGAGCCTAGCATAGCTGTCCTCTGAGAGGCCCCATCCAGCAGCTGATTGAAGCAGATGCTGAAACTCACAGCCAAGCATTGGAAGGGGGGGGAAGGTAGGGAGATAGAAGGACCTGGAGAGGACAAGAACACCGCAAGAAGACCAATAGAGTCACCTAACCTACGCCCACAAGGGCTTACTGAGACGGACGCACCAACCAAAGAGCATGCATGAACTGGACCTAGGCCCCTACACATATGTAACCAATGGGCATTTTGATCTTCATGTGGGTGTCCTAGTAAGTTGATCGGGTGCTGTCTACGACATGGACTCTGTTGCCTGCTTTCCATCACTTCCCCCTAACAGGGCTGCCTTGCCTGGCCTCAGTGAATGAGGGTGAGCTCAGTCCCTCCCTGATTCGACTTGATGTGCTGGGGTGAGATGGGGGGGGAGGTGCCCCTTTTCAGTGGGGCTTTTAATACTGAATTTTAT